GACCCCATAATTTCTGTTCCACCTGCTACATAGCCCCACACTTGTAATTAACGTTTCTCCTCTTCTTTTTGTTTTTTTAAAAAGCAAAGAAAACATAAAATAGAGAAAAATATTGAAAACACCGTTAAATTTGACGTGAATTATATGTTTTATCTATGAATTATTGATAGCTTTAAAAATACTTAACTACTTGATTAACTGAACTTGAATACATATTTGATCTTGCCACATAAGTGAAATACATCTCTAAATTTTCGTCAAGTTTAGAGGTGTTTTCAACATTTCTCTCAAAATTTTTTATAAAGATCTTCATGCACCAACAAGAGCTTGAGACCACCTGCTATGTCATATGGCAGATCAAAGTGTATTTAAGTTGAGTTAGTCAAGTAGAGAAGTGTTTTTAAGGCTGTCAATAGTTCAGGACGGAAACTAATAATTCAGATCAAGTTTAGGAGTGTTTTTAATAGTTTTCTCTAAAATAAAATAACCAACAAAGGTTGTGGAGTGGTTATTACTCCTTCATCTTTAATGAGAGCTCTTGGGTTTGAATTTCTCTGGATACAAAGTCGCCTTTGTTAAAAAGTGTTTTACCCCTCAATGTGGAACTTAGAGTCGAATCCAGTTGGGTTTCAATGTGGATATAAGACACCAAGTGGAAAAAGAAATTAAAAAGAAAACACAAAAAAATTCATTTTCTTTTTTCGATTCATTTCGTTTAGACACTCGAACTACTATTCGACTATTCGTGAACATCTGATTGCATGCTAAAATATTATTATTATTATTATACATTTCAATATCAATTTTGAGAATGGTTTTATTTTATGTATTCTCAAATATCAATAACACATATATAAAATTATAAATTAACAACTTAAAATATGTATCTTTATTATACATATTAACCTCAATAAAGCACAAAATAACATGAATATATATTAATTAAGGTTAATGTATATAACTAAAAAAAAGTTACATATATTATATTACATGATCAACTTGTTTATTTAATATGTAATTTGACAACACATACAAAAGCTATTCTAAAATTTGAACAACAATATTTATAAAAATATTTTATCATATTTAATTGAAACATAAAGTAATTTATGTGTTAAGAAGAAAATAACTATTAAGTTAGATGTTGACATGCGTGTGCATACACGTGCTCTGTACCTCATTATTATTCATCCTTGGCTTAGCTGTTTTTGTCTTATAAAATACTCACTAATCATTAACCCTCCAAATTTATGTGTATAAATTTTTTTAAAAATGAATTTAAATATAATAGTGAAATTAAGATTTTGAATTTATATATTTTAGAGTCGAGGTAAAATAGTTTAGGCACTGACTAAATTAATATATGTCTTGTAGCTTCGTTTTGTTTACATATGTCACATCATTTATGTAACTATAAAATCTTAAAAACATAATGATATTAAACATGTCATAACATGGTTTGATTGTAAAAAATATATATTAAGCCTAAAACTAATTATTTACGAAGTATAAAACATTACTCTTTTTTAAACCTTTTTTTTTGTACATAAATTTAATATATTAAAAAGGATAAGATAAACCTAAAATTACATAAAAATTATCTAAAAAAACTTAAAATATCGTACGTATGATCCTAGCAAATCAATCAACACAATAAAAAAATTTCAATATTAATGATACTTATTAGTTGAGATTATAATTTAGCCACGTTAGTACATAATATATTTGCTTTAGATGCATAATATAAATAAATTTTGGTGTTGTTATGAAGTGGTAATATTTGTCTTTCTTGATATAATTTATAATAGGCTGGCATCCATGATTTGTGGCCAATCAGAGCTAATTCATGACATCAGTTTTTTTTAAATCTTTTTTTGAGAGTGATTCTCTTTTTGTCTCTCTTAATTATTATTATTTTTGGAATAAAATGTTTTGGAGATTAGTTTTAACGGTTGGAATTAAAGTTAACAGTTATTTTTTAAAATGCTTTGAATGAATGACATCTATAATTAATGAAGAACCAATTAAATATTGATGTCACGGTCAATTTGATTGTCTTTTGGGTTTTTTCCAATTAACATAAAAAAAAATATCTTTTTAGTAGTCTGACGTGAGATTCGATTAATTTAAATTTGTATCATAAACTTATTTGAAAGGTAAAACAAAATACGTCTTTATCAAAGGCAACCGAATTTGTAAACTTGAAATTGAGATTTAAAATAAAAAAATACTTACCATCTTAATATAATCTTTAATGATACAATCAAGTTGATTCAATACAGATGATTGAGAGAGAAACCGCTTTTAGTTAACTATTTTGACTGAATTTAATAAGAGGGAATTATAATTGAATTAGTAATTGTTTTGTTGCAATATTCTCTCAGTTTATTTTTATTTGTCATATTTTGTTTTACGGGAATTGATATTAGTACTAATTTTTTTGATTAAAAAAAAAATTAGTACTAATTTTCGGAAATCAAAAGGTTGCATTTATTTCAAATATTTTTCTGTAAAATTGGAAGTGGATTCTTAGAAATAAAATTAGCATGTCTAAAATCAACACAAAAAGTACTTTAATTTCAGTCATAATTTTCTATGATTTAAAATATAGTGAAGGGACACTTACGTGTTCATTGATGTATTTGAGTTGAATGTTAATTGGTCAAGGCGTTTAACAGTTAATTAATTGAATTAACGGTTGAAATTAAATTTGAATGATTTATATTGTACGTTATGAATATAATGTCATTAATTATAAAAACATAAATGTCATATTATAACCTATGGAATAATCATTAGTGTTATTGCCTTTTGTCACGAGCCTAATTATATTTGAAGTTGACATATAAATCTAATCAATTTGATTTATTGGGAGAGTCGTCCAATTTTAAATATTTTGAAGAGGAGGAGGATAAATATATCGTTGAATTATTTAAAATTGATCCATTTTATTATCCGTTATGTTTTAGGTTAAGAAATGTATTTTGATGAACTACTTCAATCTTTTACTTTCTTGAGTTGAAGATATTTTTGGAACCGACTTGTTTATCCCACAAAGATAGAAATAAAATTTGCATACATATATTTTTACGGAACTCTACTTACATAAAATTATATATGCCGGATATAGACGGAGTCACCTTAGACGAAGGGTGGTCTGATGCACTTTTTTTGCCCAAAAATTATATGGTGTACATAGATTAATTTTTAACAATTAAAACTGTATATTTAATTTTGCACACCCTTAACCTAGCTGAAAAGAATGTGCACACCCTTCATTAAATTCTGACTCCGTCACTATGTTTGATGTATTATTATTGTTATTTTAAGTTAAACCTTTCCTTCAAATATAAGAGATTATTTTTGTCATTTTCTAAAATATTTTCTATTGTCTTGTAAGGTGGCACGTTGGTCTTTGTTAAATTCACAATTGGTGCAACGTGGCACTTTTATAGAGAATTATCATATGTGACCAATTAGAGTTAATTATTAATAGCGTGCCTAAATCAAAGTGGGCTACTTATAAGAGACAAAAGACGAAACTACACCTCTCTTGTTTATAATTTTTGACAATTGTCACAATGCCACTTGGAAAACGTCACTTTGTATTGTCAATTTATTAAATCAATTATATTGGATTTAAGTTTAATATATATTGCCAAATATAACAAATTTTTTTACATAATTTTGATTATCTATCCTGATTATAATCTTTTCTATTATAATTTTAGAATAGAATAACCTTGTTCTGAATTAAGTCGTAATTATTAATATAACCTTGATTTGAACCAAACGATCTAAAGTATGCAGAATTTAACGATTCTTGGATATGACTTGAACGGTTGGAAACTAAAGTTGAATGTTTTTAATACATGTTTTATTGTCTCCAATCAATTCAGTTTAGTGTAGGGAATAGTTGAAGAAAAAGTTATATTTTTATCTTCTTTGACTAAAACTTAGTAAAGAGGGAATTGTAGGACATTATTATAAAGCTTGTCTCTTAATGGTACTCAAAAGGTAAACATTTCCATATCAATATTATTCATTTGTAGCAGTAAATCTTAATTTGCTTACTACAAAAAAGTATTCAGAAGGTTGATCTTAATATTTTTCATGTTGACGGGTCGATTGTAAGGGTAATACTTTAGGCCTAATAAGTTTATACAAAGTCCAATTATTCAAATGCAAGAAATTGCAAAAAAATTCGCCCGCCATCTTCTTTTTTACAATTTATTTTTATATATAATTTGTGGAAATTTAGATCACGATCTAAATATCTCTTTTGATCAAATGAAAATTATAGACCATAGTCTAAAATTTTGTAGACGTTAAACTGTGTTCAACGACTTGTCAAGTCTCAAGACTATATTTGCATAAATAATTTTAAAAATTAGGGACAGTCTAAATAGTGGCCTAAAAATGAGACATTTATATAAATCATCTTCGAATTACTGAAACGTGAAATACTTTTAAATAAATTCAGTTAATCAGATTTCTAATATTTAGGAATGTAAGGTGTATAGGCAAATAATTTGTACTTGCCCAAGTTGTTTCCATAGTAAATGCTATTTAACTCTCATTTATTTCATATGAACTCCAGGATAATAGGTAGGTAGATGTTCGACAACTTACACTAGTAGTAGTTCGTAGTATTGCTCCCGTAGTTTTTGGTCCTTCAAATTTTGTTATATCTGTTTTCTTGTTCTTGACCATTGTTACTATCTGCTATTTCTTATACTTGTGTTTTTTCCAAAATTATGCTAGATTTGAAAATTTGTACCTCATATTTCTATTACTAACCAATAGGAAAAGCATTGAAGTTCATGATCAACTGAATCTGCCTCCAGCAAATTTCATTTTATCTTCGTTGCAAGTCTGAATCCCAACCCCACAAACAACGTACGGGGGAAGGTAGAACTCGAAAGAAATCCAACATACACCATTTGAACTTAGCCATAGATACTACTTAAAAAACGATTGCAAATCCACCACCAACTAGGTAAGAAAGGGGATGGCTACAGCCAGAAAAACTGCGCTAAACGCAAGGTAAACACGTTAAATACTTTCATGGACTATACCATTAAGTGCTTTAAATAACAACCACCCACAGAAAAAAAACTCCATCACTAATTTAAATTCAAACTAAGTTGATTTTTAGGCTGACAGCCCAAGCTTAGGTACCTAAGAGTCTATAACAGCAGTAGCTCTACTGCATTATTAACAAACACATCCATCGTAGTCTACATACTAGTGAGTATTAATTACATGTCAGGAAGAGCTGAAAGGATTATGCTGATGTTTGCCAGAATACCTGTACAGGACGATAGTGCTAGCAGCTTACATGCATGGCTGTAATAACAACCGGCACCCTCCGACTAATTCCATGCTATGTAATGTTCTCTCCTGAATAAACAGTCACCTTCTCTAGCACAGCACACAAACTCAAGCAGATAACATCTGTTGTTTCACCTTTCTCAGCACCGGATGTGCTGCCCATGCTTTTCTTTATCAGAGAGCCTTCCTCCACCTCATCCCTCGGAATCAAATCATTCAGAGTCATCATGCTGTCACCAACTGACCTGAATTTCAGCACTCTTACTCCATCTTACACAAAATACAGTCACACATGACAGCACAAACCAAGTTGCTGGATGCAAACCCATAATCCATTAAGCAACAAACTGGTGGTCCTTAACCGTTGTAATGGAGTTTCTGATTTTGTGAGCCTTGAGGCTGTTGAGGTTGGGAGCTTTGCATGTTCAATGGTTGGGTGTTGTAGTGCCCAAAAGGCTGAGAGTACAGTGGATTGAGTAAACTCTGAAGAAAAACAGAAACAAATTTGATATTGACATTAATTAAACTGATGAACTAACCAATAAAAAGGAGCATTTTGCAACACGTGAAGTCCCCTAAATCTTGATACTGATGAAGAATGAACTTCCCAGTAGCTGGAGACTTCACGTGATGTGCATACTTCATATCTGCAGGTCTTTCAATGATATTGTTAACTACCAAGCAGAATTAATAATGCAGTAACCTGAGACTGAAGTGGATTTGCATTGGACATGCCAAAATGGTTTTGTGGACTGTCCTCTTGTGATGGATCGCTGTATCCAGCTTGTGTGAAGAGACCTTGGGATCCATGAGCCATGTAATCCTGCAGAGCAATCAAAATGATGACATAAGCATTCGACCCATGTAAACAGGAAGAAGAGAAACATCAGCAAAGAAAACCACATAAGATAACAGTTGTTCACCACCTATGAAGAGACTGTCGACCCCTTCCATTTCCCCCCAACAGACCTAAAAGAGCAAGAAATGAAGGGGCCAAGGGGCCGGACAGCTTACCTGTGACATAAATTCATTTCCTGAACCAAAACGTGAGTATCCAGCTTGTGAATTATGGTTCAAATAATTTCCTGGAAAACCAGCCTGTGCTCCCTGATTTACATAATCAACAGCATATCCGCTTTGAGAAGCCTGAATGGAAGTGAAACAAAGCTGAGTTAGTACTACTTAACAAAAAGGGAAAAAAGTGAATGTACAAATTAGATGGACAGGGGTGAGAACGTCAAGATATTATACAAACTGCCAGCTAGAGAATGTGTACGACAGTACCTGTGTAGAGAAGTCAGTAACATGATATGGAACATGGGATCCCTGGCTCTTGAAATCATCTCCCAAGAAATCCTGATTAAAAAATTAAAGGATAAATGTGATACTTGGCGAAGCAAACAACAGTGGTTAACAAAATCGATTACCTGTGACATGCCACCCATTGAAAATCCATCGCGAAATGTCTGGCTTGGTCCTTGAATGGCCATCTATGATTTTTAAAATTAAAAAAACATGCTTGCTACTAGAACAATAAGAATATGATAGAATAGTGAAAGAATTAACAGGTTTACTAACATTAGAAGCATATCCAGGTTGAGATAAAGGTCCTCCGCCAGATGGTTGAGTGTTTGGATTTTCAAGTGCAGAAAAGTTGAAGTTAGGCCCATGACTTCCAATAGGTTGCTGGGAAGCTTGCTGGTGAGAAAGATGGCTACCAATCGGAGCATTGGCATTCCCACGCCCGGCACCAAAACCCCGGTTACCTGGATGTGGAACATGAGGTACCGCTCCAACAGGCCCGTGTATAGCATCACGAGCAGGAATTGCATACGGTTGGGGAGGGCCGCCATGGTAAGGGGAGATGGGAACTCGAGGCATTGGATAACCAGAAGAATAGACACCGGGTCTGTGAGTACCATTGGATGGACCAGGTGCCATGTAAGAACCTATTAAAAAGATAAAAAGTTCAAAACCTGAGCCATAAGACAGGACTAGATGTATGAACACACTGTAATTTGGAACATAACACATGCTTTCACTTTCCGGCACTAATTCAAGAAAACTTGGCAGGGAAAGGAGGTAGCTTGGATTCTAACAACCTTATCAGATGATGAAACCTGCTCAGCGTGGAATCATCAACACCAAACAACTGCTTTCTACCCAATTACGAGGACCATTATGATGTATAATTTTTGGAGCACCTACAGGATTCCCATTTCGAGTAGGTACTTTTTTAGAAAATCACATTCTAATCTGAATCATCTACTTTGTCTATGCTTGTATACGGGTTTATCCCCAATTGCGTCAATATGGTACCTCATTTTTTTTGGGGGGGTGGGGGGAGTCATCATCTCAAAAGAAATTCCACAAATAGCAATTTTACAGGAAACATGCATGACTAATGAGATCCATATGGAAATAGTCACATCCATATCATAACATTTCCTACTATACAGATCAAAGCAACTGAATTATGAGTGTAAAGTAAGCCAATAGGAGAAAAATTAAAATCCAACATACCCCTAGAGTGACTACTTCGCCTGTCAGCATTGGGGTTTGATGAGGCAGGAGATCCATAATTATCACTAGGAACAATTCCAGGTCCACCACCAAAGAAAAGCCTGCGGTCATTGTAGATCTGCAAAACCAATGATGCGAAAGATCAACACCACATCAGAACCACAATATGATACATTCTGCTGAGGCACAAACATCAAACTTAGAAAGAACATATAAAAACCTATAAGTACCTTTTTTGGCTTCTGAAACTGAACCATGCTTTGCTTTAAGTTATTTAAAGGACCTTCTACCAAGCATTCATGCTCCTGATTGACAAACATGTAAAAGTTTGAGCATCTTGAGGCGTAATAAACTAGAAGAGATATTGAAGTGATTCCAAGAGTTTAAAGCAATAATGATGTAGTCAGACAAACTCAGCAATACAACACCCTCTTCCAAAGAGGATTGGCCCAAAAATAACACGCAATGAGCAAAATGTCAAAAATTTCCAGTTCAACAACACCTCAGTTTAGAATAATCATGAAATGCAGAATATTAGGTAATAAGCATTTTAAAAATCAGCATTACAATCGAAAAAAAAGAAAGAAAAAGTTACCTTAAGCATTTTCTTTCAGAACTATTTAAGAAATTACCTTGTAGTGTGTCAGCAAGCCATTCCAGAGAGGCTGCTTGCTCAACACTTTAGGATTTCCTAGGATAACGATTCCATAACGAGCACGTGTAAGAGCAACATTAAGCCTGCGAGGATCATTCAGAAACCCAATGCCCTGAAATGAATAGCAAGTAAACTATAAGTTCAACAGTTATTTATAAGGCACTGGCAATATGGGACGTTTTGCACAGCATGTTTTTTTTGTTTTACATAACTTTATGGCCAGAACAACCAACAAAGTATAAGAAACCCAGTCTACCTCTTGTACCTCCAAATAAAAAAGGGGTGAAAAACTAGCCTTTTAACACTTTAAAAAAGATGGAATGCAAAAAATCAAAGGTTATGATGCATACATGCCATGGAAAGAGCGGGAAAGAAAGGAGCAAACATCACATGAAGATTACTGTGAGAAATAGATGAAAAGAATATTATTGAAATTGTGTTTTAATTATTACATAGAGAACCCTATTTATAGACACTATGATACAATTCCTTACCAATTAGGAGACTATAAACTATTCATATTCTGTGTAGGATTGTGTATACCTATTCTATTCTAACACTCCCCCTCAAGCTGGTGCATACAAATTATATGTACCTAGCTTGTTACAAATGTAATTAATACGAGGACCGATGAGGGACTTGGTGAAGATATCTACAAGTTGATCATTTGACTTCACAAATTTGGTAACAATATCTCCTGAGAGTATCTTTTCTCTAACAAAGTGACAATCAATCTCAATGTGCTTAGTCCTCTCATGAAACACTGGATTTGATGCGATATGAAGGGCCGCTTAATTATCACACACAAGTTCCATATGACTGGTTTCTCCAAGCAACTGTTTGATCCAAACTAGCTCACAAGTTGCTAATGCCATTGCTCGATATTCTGCTTCCGCACTGGATCGAGCAACCACACTCTGTTTCTTACTCTTCCATGACACCAAATTACCTCCTACTAAAGCACAATATCCGGATGTAGAACGTCTATCAAAGGGTGATCCTGCCCAATCAGCATCTGTATATCCAGTGATATGCTCATGGCCTTGATCCTCGAAGAGTAGTCCTTTACCAGGAGCTGACTTTATATATCGCAGAATACGAACAACTGCATCCCAATGACTATCACAAGGAGAAGTCATAAACTGACTTACAACACTCATAGGAAAAGAGATGTCTGGTCTAGTCACTGTGAGATAATTCAACTTTCCAACCAACTGTCTATACCTTTCAGGATTAATGAGTTGCTCCCCTTGTCCGGGAAGGAGTTTAACATTCGGATCCATAGGAGTGTCAATGGGTTTACATCCCATCATTCCTGTCTCCTCAAGAATGTCTAAAGCATACTTGCATTGAGAAATAACAATACCTGATCTAGACTGAGCAACCTCAATACCTAGAAAATACTTCAGTCTGCCGAGGTCTTTAGTTTGGAAATGTTGAAAGAGATACTGCTTCAAATTAGTGATACCAACTTGATCATTGCCGGTGATAACGATATCATCAACGTAAACAACCAAATAGATACACAAATTTGGTGTTGAATGCCGATAAAACACAGAGTGATCAGCTCCACTACGAGTCATACCAAACTCCTAAATTACTGTGCCGAACTTCCCAAACTAATCTCGAGGAGACTATTTCAGACCATAGAGTGATCGACGCAATCGACATACAAGGCTACTAGATTCCCCCTGAGCAACAAAACCAGGTGGTTGCTCCATATAGACTTCTTCCTCAAGATCACCATGCAAAAAAGCATTCTTAATGTCCAATTGATGAAGAGGCCAATGACGAACGGTAGCCATAGATAGAAAAAGACGGGCATATGCTATTTTGGCCACAGGAGAGAAAGTGTCACTATAATCTAGCCCAAATATTTGAGTATACCCTTTGGCAACAAGGCGAGCCTTAAGCCGATCGACTTGACCATCTGGACCAATTTGACCGCATAAACCCAACGACAACCAACAGTAGACTTACATGTAGGAAGGGGGACAAGCTCCCAAGTACCACTCGAATGTAAAGCAGACATCTCATCAATCATAGCCTGCCTCCATCCAGAATGAGAAAGTGCTTCTCCTGTAGTCTTAGGGATGGAAATAGAGGACAAAGATGATACAAAGGCATAATGGGTGAAGATAAACGATGGTAACTTAAGAAAGTATAATGTGGATTAGTATTTCGAGTAGATCGTATACCTTTTTGAAGTGTAATCGATTGGGTAGCAGGAGGCAAGGCCACAGTAGGAGCAGGGTCCGGCGCATGACATGAATCATTTGAGACTATTGCTGGACGTGGGCCAATGATAAGTTAGGAGTGGTGGCACGACAACTGAAGATGGATAAGTAACTGTAGGTCCCTCAAAAGTCGATACAGGCAAGACTTGAGGTATGGGTAAGACCTCAGAGACATCAGGATGATCAGAAGATCTGTAATAAGGTTGAGATTCAAAGAATGTTACATCGGCAGACATCAGATATCGGCGGAGATCATGTGAACAACAACGATACCCTTTTTGAACTCGAGAGTAACCAAGAAAGACACATGAAAGAGCACGAGGGGATAATTTATCTTTTCCTGGGGATAAGTTATGAACAAAGCATGTGCTCCCAAATACACGAGGAGGGATAGAATAGAGATGTGACTGAGGATACAGTATGGAATGTGGAATCTGATTCTGAATAAAAGATAAGGGCATTCTATTAATTAAATAACAAGATGAAAGGACTGCATCCCCCCGAAAACGCAGCGGAACATGGGATTCAATGAGGAGAGTGCGAGCAATCTCAATGAGATGCCTATTCTTTCTTCTGCTACACCATTTTGCTGGGGAGTGTATGGACAAGATGTTGGTGAATAATTCCTTGGTGAGACAAAACTCCTGAAACTGGGATGATAAGTATTCTAAGGCATTATCACTACGAAAAGTACGAATAGAAACACCAAACTGATTTTGTATTTCAGCAAAGAAACTTTTAAATATAGAAAATAACTCAGAACGATCTTTCATTAAGAAAACCCAAGTGCGTCTCGAATAATCATCAATGAAACTAACAAAATAACGAAATCCTAAAGTGGAACTAACTCTACTAGGACCCAAAATATCAGAATGAACTAATGAAAAAATTGACTCTGAACGACCCTCAATACCACGTGAAAATATGGCACGAGTATGTTTCCCAAGTTGACATGACTCACAATCTAATTTAGATAAACTAGGCACTATCTGTTGCAGTTTGGATAGACTCAGATGTCCCAAACGTTTGTGAATGAGGTCTGGAGGATCTGTAACAGAGCATGCTGCGAAGGAATTTGAAGAGGTAAGATAGTAAAGGCCTTGCGATTCATGTCCTGTGCCAATCATCTGCACGAATGCTTATGGAGCGGGGGTTTGGAGAGCTATTAGAAACTTATGGCCCAAGTTAGAAGCAAATTTACATATCAAGGTGGGGGATGGAAGTAGAACTAGATTCTGGTGGGATGTATGGATCAAACAAACCCCCCTGAAAGACCTGTTTCCTGATCTATTTATTTTGTGCACCAATTCTAAGGCAATGATTAGTGATTGTTGGACAGTACAAGGTTGGAATCTTTATTTCAGAAGACTTCTAAATGATTGGGAAATAGAGAGAGTAGCCAAATTGTTGGAGGAAGTGGGGGATTTTGCAGGCACCAATACTGACAATGATGTTGTTAGATGGTCACACAGTAAGGATGGGATCTTCACAGTTGGCAGGGCATATAAAAAGGAGTGCAACTCGCAAAGTAGCAGATACCAGAGTTCATGGAAAAATATCTGGAGGACTGCAGCACCAACAAAAGTTAAATGCTTTACTTGGCTGGTCATTAGAAAGGCATGCTTGACACATGAAGTCTTGAGGAAGAAAAGAAAGATCATACTTCCGTGGTGCTCTTTATGTGGAAAGACGGGGGAAACTAACAGTCACCTATTCTTACATTGTACTTTCACAGCACAAATATGGTCCATGTTTCTCAACTATTTAGAAGTGAAATGGACTATGCCCGAACATATAGCTGATTTACTTAGTTGTTGGATCAGGAGAGGAGGTAGCAAGAGACAGAAGACCTGATGGAATTTGATTCCACATTGCATTTGGTGGACAGTGTGGAAGGAGAGGAATAGTAGGAATTTTAAAGATATATCCAATTCCATTCACAAGGTTAAATGAAATTGCATTGTATCTCTATATTTTTGGTGTAAAGAGATAGGATTAGAGGATTCAAATCAACTTTTAGAACTCTTAGGATCCTTGTAAGTATTATGCTTTTTGTTCTTTTCTAAATTTTTTAAAGGTCCCCAGCATATCCTTAATGCTGAAGAATACAATGTTTACCAATTCTCAAAAAATCATCTGTCCCGTATTGCGGTCCTGCATAAGAAAAGAATCAGCAAAAAAGGTGATGCTACAATGTAGGGCACGTGTCAAACGACTAACAGATGCCAGATACATAAAGAACAGAGTCTAGAGTGACAGAAGAAAGGGGTGTGGCTTTTCCAACCCCTTTTGGTTTTGTTTGGATCCCATTGGCCAAAGTAATAGTAGGAAGAGATTGTGAATAAACAATATCTGATAGAAGTGATTTGTTACCAGAAATATGATCAGAAGCGCCCGAGTCCATGACCCATGAGTATGAGACTGTGAAACACAAGCAAAAGAATTACCCGCAACAACATTATGTTGAACAACCGAAGCTACGTGTGGAGACGTTTGCTTACTTGCTCGATATTGAAGGAACTCATCATATTCTGATTGAGCAATATGAGCATTATGGGATGGTCGATCAAGCGGAGCACCAAATGCTTCTGGTGGAGATGTCTGCTTACTTGTACGAATACGAAGGAACTCATTATATTCCTTTAGAACAACATGATCATAATTGGGTGGTGGACCATGCAAATTATGACATATGTCACGAGTGTGTCCAGACTTATGACAATAACTACACTTGGACCGAGGTTTTCCAAGATTGATATGTTCGTTTTTCTATTGTTTGAGATGCGAGAGCAGATGAGTCAATAGTCGATGATGAAACTGCTTTGTGGCTGGAAGGCGCGGCAAGACGAAGTAGACGAGAGAATAATTCATCAACTGTAGGAATTGTAGGGCTAGCTAAAATCTAATCACGCACTGAATCATGGTCAGTAGGAAGTCCAGCAAGTGTAAAAACTAGAAACAATGTATGTCTGTGGTTTTGTTGTTTTTGCACGTCCGTAGTGACTGGCATCAATGTATCAGATTCCTCCATGACTGCCTGTACTTGTCCCAAGTAGGTGGACATATCTGATTCTTGTTTCTTTAAGTTGGTCATACGAGATATCACATCATAAAATCGAGATATGTCATTAGTGTATAAAGCACGAGCCTTTTCCCAAACTGAATAATATGTTTAGAATGGACGGAACAAAGGCATCAACTTGGAATCAATAGATCGCCATAGGAGACTACATAACTGAGCATCAACCTTCTACCATTGTGCGTTGACTTTTGCATCTTCCCCACTAGCCTTTACCTTTTCATCTACCACACAGGCAATGTTCGTTAAGTGATCTTGGACACCTTGACCCTTGCACCACAACTCAACCGAGGAAGCCCAAGCCAAATAGTTTGAGCTTCCCATTAATGGTTCTGAAGTGATCATAGGGCTTGAACTTCCAATTCCTATATTCTTGGAGCCAAAAGTATCAATCCCTAAAGACATGTTGTGAAATTAGAATATGTAGCCAAAAAAAAAAGGATTTTTTTTTGTCGAAATCTGGAAAATAGGGCTGTTGCCGGAAAAGTAGATCTAATCGCCAAATATTGGTCGGAATGAGGAAAAAAATATATGGGCAGCCTCGGAATGAAGAGGCGACCCCACTGGAAAAAGAAAAAAATGCCCGGAAAAGACAGACCTGACAAGCTTGCCGGAGAATTTATTCTGGCGGCGCGTGAGGGCGCGTGTGGCAGTTGTTTCCGGTGAGATTGACTGGGCTTTGCTCGCCGGAGATTTCCGCACCTAGTGGTGGTGTTGATTTTCGAAAAACAGTGACGGAAAAATTAATTACTCGGACAGCCACTTAGGTTACCGGAAAAACTGCAAAAACATTTTTTTTTCTCATAATTGCTTTGATACCATGTTAAATTAGGTCTTGGGCCTAACTCACACCCCAAAAGCTAGCTCAAAGGGAGGAGGATAGCCCAAGCCTTATAAGGAGTCCACCCATCTCATTAACCACCGATGTGGGACTTTTGTCATTCTTTAACACCCCACCTCACGCCCAGTGCTTAGCATCTGTTGCGTGGGCAATTTGTATTTTGGGGGCCCCAACATCGGGTGAGTCGGGCCCTGCACTGATACCATGTGAGAAATATATGAAAAGAATATTATTGAAATTGTGTTTCAATTATTACATAGAGAACCCTATTTATAGACACTGATACAATTCCTTACCAATTAGGAGACTATAAACTATTCCTATTCTGTATAGGATTGTGTATACCTATTCTATTCTAACAATTACAAACTATCAACACACTAAACCACATTGGTATCATATTAACATGAACAGCAAGTGAAAACAGATAATTCTGGATATCTATACCAACCTGATGTTCATTGCTCCTGACACAAGACAAGATGATATAATCTTTTTCTCTTCCTTGAAATGAATCTACACTTGCAACCTGGTGATAGAAATTACTCAGTTAATTGGAAGAATTTAAGAGAACCGTAAGTAGCCCCTCTATTCACAAGTTACCTCAATTTCCTTGTAAAGTTGCTGCCTTAAAGCACCATTTCTAGACATATAATTTACAATATATGCTCGTTGACCCTCATATGGTGTTATAACTCCAATCTGGCAAATACGATACAGACATAGTTGTATACAAATGAATTATTCAACTCCTAGGCACTTTGATTGCTGAGAAAAGGAAATGATAGTACCGGAAAGAAAACTTATCTGCCACTATGCATTTGGAAGTAGGTAAGTGTGAGTACAGGTTTTTAAACTTAAAAATAGGAAACCTTTCTTCAAATTAAGTCTTGCCAATTTTTAAGGATTGTGGTGTCTCTTAAATATATGCTTGAAAATGATTATTCCATCTTAAAGTTTTACTTTGCAGAAATTTTGTACTAACTTCCTCAGCATCGAAATGACAAGTTAAAAATCTAAACAACCACATACCTGACTAGGGACTACACCACTTTTGAGGAACGTAGTCACTAGCTTCTCAACGCTAGCAGCTTCAGTTCTATTTAGATAGGAAGTTCCACTAGAACTGATCTCCTCTTGTCCCATCTATAGAGATTAACAACTGCGTATGACTTTATACAGCCAGAAAATGGGAATACACAAAATAGAAAGTGAAAAAGAAATCATTAGCCTATATGGCTATATCTCTACAACACATAATCCTTAGTATCTCATAGCCATAGCAGTAATATCTAAAGATAATCAAGGAAGAACAGAAACAAAATATATACATCTTTTCACTCTAGGAAGGACATCAGGAAATCAACTAGATAAATTGGGAATACCCGGACAATAATTGTTTTTATAAAATTGAGCATACCTGGACATAAAAGAACATGGGACGGTTTGGCACAGGCCAAGGAAAATCAATGCCTAATGATTGTCTCTCATTGATGGTTACACCATTTTGAAGTGTACCTTCGTAAAAACTATTTGACGGGAACTCTGACAGTGCAGGATGCATACGGTATTGTACCTAATATTGCATTTCAATGGACAGGAGAACCAACATTATATATCAATTGAGCAAATATAAAGGGAAAAGCAGAGAAGGTACAAACATTTAACAGTAAAGAGGAGTCTGAACAGCATAGACAATAATCAATAAGTTAATCATAGACAATCATGAAAGGAATGGAAGCAGAGTATCTACGACTGTACTTTGTCAGGCAAATTAAAAGGGCTAGAATGGCATGCACAGAAACTCAATGACTGACATCTAAGTTTAAGCAGGATAGGGACTTGCTAATACCTCTACACAATTTGGTATGAAGCATGGGAATATCACACACTTAAAACTAGAAATCTTTTGTCCTAGAGCCTTGGTGGACAGAGAATTCTGGTACCTGTTGCTTGCGGGAGGTGACAGGTATCCCGTGAAATTAGTCGAGGTGCGTGCAAGTTGTCCCCGACACCACGGTTATCAATATATATATATATATATATATATATATATTTAATCCTCCTCATATTGAAGAAAAAAGATAGTGGGACATTGAAGAAGTTTTGAATATTGGTGTCCATAAACACCTCACCCAGAAAAAAGGTAAGAAGAAATAACGGTCTACATAAAACACATGAGCGCTTCAAATCTTTATATCAATTGCATGAGGAACAAGAGAAAACACTGGATCTCATAATTCAATCCAACCTCATAAATCCCAGAAAAGTTTATGCATAAAAAAAAACTCCCAGAAAATCACCTGCAACCTGATTGGCTTCACACCCAGCAGTACAAGACGTTCAAACAGGGATTGAGCAAGTCCAGCCCGTGCAGCTTTCTTGCACATAATGACAGGTCCAAGCTGGCAGTGATCACCAACGAGGACAATCTAGCACATACATTACAGTAAGTATCTCCTATATGTATAGCCATACCTCAATATGAAATAAATAGCAGCAGTTACCTGCTTTGCTCCAAGAACCAAAGGAATAAGGCATTCAGGTTCACCTGCTTGAGTGGACTCATCAATGAGCACCTACAATAAGGTTGCATAGCAGAGATGTTGAAACCATCAAGGAAACATCCAAATGAATGAAAAAGCACACACACAAAAAACTAAATGGATAAGAAAGTGAGAAAAGAGCTAAAGATCCTCAACATCTTTACTTCTGAGGCAAACCAACCTGACGGAATCTAAAATTTGCCAATCTAGGATCTCCAGCACCAACACAGGTGCAACAAATCACATCAGCACTTTGAGCAATCTCCCTCTCTGTAGCCCGTTTCAGAGCTTTATATTTCTTCTCATCACCGCTGGAGAGTTCTCCTGAACATCAATAAATTAAATGAATTTGGAAAATGTGCACACATTTACCAATGCTGCAAACAGGTGATCATGTATGTACATAGAAAACCAAAGTCTTCAAGCTAACAAGTCCAATTGGAACACCAATATCCATAAAGCATAAACAAACTAGAAGGGAACACCAACCTTGTTCATCCTTCAGTTGCTGTAACTTGTAAAGTTCACTCTTCTCGGATGTGTCAAGATGACGAACCTACATGGACAATGAGTTGAAGAATGGATGGAGAGAAAAGAATATAAAAGGTTCTGAAAGAAAACTTATACGTAAGTGTGTGATAATTCACAAAAGAACTAACCTGATAGTGAAGGGTTAAATGCTCAACAGGAGAACTGACAGCTTCTCTCGACTTAGCACAGAGCCTTACAACCTGGGAGAAAATAATTCATAAGAAAAGAGCTGAAGAATCCAACATTTGATGGCGTTTCTATTCATTTTCCGTGACTCCTATGTTCTCAATACTTTTGATTTCTCTTTCTTTTTCCTTTACTTGTGTGGTTATATAGCAATCAACAAGGCGCCTTCAGGTTATGGAAAAGTACTCCTGACCAATCAACATATGGAAAGGGGGTAGAGGAGGGGGAAAAGGAATATGTGATGTCAAAAAGACAAGGAAGAATAGTTCAAATTTCAATAGGCTACTTCCATTATACAACAACAAAGAAACATGTGTTGATAACCAAGCAAAAATAATGACTGAATGTTATTTTTCTGGACCTAGTAGTGAGTATTTTATTTTTGATGCATAATCTTAGAATCTTCTATACAAAAAAAAATAGTGAATGAGAAATTGTTAGAATAGTTCAATGAAAGCTATCCAGCAGAGGGAGATACACACAAATGCTGCTCCTCACCTTCAGTCCAGTAGCACTTATTTTCTCTGCTAATTGGTCCACAGCCACGTTACTGGGTGCACAGACCAAAACCTGATGAAAAATTGTCAAAGAAACGGTAGAGAATATGCTTAGAATCAAGGGGTTACACTAAACAATGAAAACAAGGTCAACTTGTAGAACAATTAACTTACCTGACCCTGGCCTTGCTTGGCCATATGATACACGATGGCAGCGGAGGTAACAGTTTTTCCCGTACCAGGCGGACCTTGAATTAAACTGACGGGCTTTTGGAGAACACTTTTTACAGCAAAAACCTAGAAAAATGCACATGTACTATAAGACAATATTATTCCTCTTATTCATTTCTATCCATCAGAAATGTGATGGGGTGACCATTTTTCCCCCTTCTCTTTTTGGGGGTTGGAGCAAGCAGATTTGAGGCACCACTCTCAGGCTAATAAACTAACAGCTGAGCGGAGGGAAAACTTTGTGAGCAGAGTGACCAAACAAGACTACCAACAAATTGGATGCAGGTGGTGACATTCATGATGCAAGCAACTAAATAATAATTAGTAAGAATCTCAAAGTCAGCTAACATAACTATCATAACATGTGTAGCTCTCTAGATGCACAAGTGTGCACGTGTATAAATCCCATAACTTCTATTCCTAAGGTGTGCACTTGCAACTATGAACTTGCCCCCAAATACATATTAAAAATATTCCTGAAAAACGGGTAGGAGCAAGATAGATACTGAAACTTGATAGACAACTCTTCTGTTTGAGAAACGAGTTAAAACTTCAAAGAAAGACAGAACCGCCAACCTGAGAAGCGTTAAGCTCTGGAAGACCAGGAGCACCAAAACGGCGAGGAACTGTATTCCGAACCATCTGCATCTCAACTTCGTGACCTAGCAGGTGATGGTAAATATACCTACATAGTAGAATCAATGAATCAAACACAAGTATCCTAATAAAAAAGTTATAATCTGGTTGACACAAGCAAAATTATCTGCTAAAGGTCATCAAGTATGAAAAACTACAGCTATATCATATACTTCAAAGTTCCCTCGTGACACCAAGACTGGACAGCAAAGCAAAGTGAATTATCTATCACATTCAGCAACAGCAAAGTAAAGCAGGAATAGTGAATTCTTGCTACATAAATGCCTCCAAGAATCACAGTATATCAACCCTTGGAAGAAAGTCAGAAAGCAAGTATGAGATGTGTATAAGCAAGATGTAGAAGTACAAATTTAAAGCAAAATAACGCAAACAAGAGGGAGAAGGACATGTATCATTTTCTTTAAACTTCTTTTAGTAAATTCAGACATTCTCACTCACCCACTAACACTTGTCTCATCCACAGCAAAAGTTTTCATTGCAGTCTGCATCCTGTCAAAGCTCGTACTCTTCCAAACAAAGTCAACGCTCAGCCCATGGGTCACATCAACCGGAACTCCCTGCAAGACAGGAATGTTGCAAATGAATTAAGAACACAAATCGCGATGTAACGTTAGTTGGGGGGGGGGGGGGGGGGGGGGGTGCAAAGAAAAA